TTGTTTTCAAAATTGTTGTAAACGCATAAAACTTTATTTTTGAGACAATTCTTTATGATTTTTATTGCAAATTTATGATTTTTATTAAAATTTGAACATAAGTTATTGTAAAACATCATAAACTCCTATTTTAAATGATTGAATAACAAAAATAAAAAGTTTTTTATACTTGCAATCTAAAAATAATCGGGATATGTAAGATTAGGCGGGGAATAATCGGATTAGACGGGAAGTAATCAGATTAGACGGAGAGTAGTCAGGTAACTGATTTTTTTTTAGGAGATTAGTCATTAATCGAGGCGGATAGGGTGGACCTAGCGATTAAGCGGAGAGTAATTAGGTTAGGCGGAGATTTTGGGAAGGTGGTGTAAGTTATGAAAATCAAACCTCATGGTATATGGTATGTATAATATATCACTATGAACAAAAATTGCAATATGAAATTTTGAATTCTAGCATTGGCCCATATAATAAACTCTCAGTCACTTATATCACCATAAATGGATTTCATCAAAATTTATTTTGAATATAATAAGTGGTTCTGTGATTTGTTATCAAAAAAAAAAAAAAGTGGTTCTGTGATGAATCAATTACGAATGAAGGACTTATTTTGATGGCTTTTACAGAATTTGCCATTTTATCAAAAAAATTTGAAAATTGCCATTTTCTTGTAAACAAAAACACAAATTTACATATAATGCTTGGGTTTGTTAAGTTCCAGTTTTTTGTAAGGTATAGTTTTTGTTATAAAGTATATGTTTTATGAAATTATTTTTCCAAATTTTTAGTTTTTAAAAATGGCAAAAATGGCAAATTTGAAAGAATGTTGAGAAAATGGCAATTTTGAAAAATGGTCGAGCAAAAATGACTTTTTAGATAATAATCCCGTTCTGTGATGGCTCATAAACGCATCTTAGTTATGTTTTAGACAAAACAGTGGTCCAAACGAAAATTGTCACACCATGCATGTCCCATGAAACATTTTTTTACGTTTTCGTAACCGTTAACCAAATATTTCATAAAATACTCTCAACAAAAAAATAATTTATTTACAGTTGTTATTAAAAATAAAATATATTATTGTAGAGAAGAATCATCTTCTCCAAACAATCACTAAACGCCATTTGCTTAGCTTTTTTCCCTCTTTTTGATTTTTCTTCCCAACACGTCACCTCTATCTCTTCTCACCGGAAAAGTCTTCACCTTTCACCGGCGGATGTTCACATGAACGGCACAACATCATCAATCAACTTCTTAACCTCCGACGATGACGCGTCGGCGGCTATGGAAGCTTTCATCGGAACAAACCACCACTCATCTCTCTTTCCTCCACCGCCACAACCACCACCACCACCTTCTTTTCCTCAAACTCAATTCAACGAAGATACTCTTCAACAACGTCTCCAAGCTTTAATCGAATCCGCCGGGGAAAACTGGACTTACGCTATCTTCTGGCAGATCTCACACGACTTTGATTCATCCACCGGAGACAACACTGTAATCCTCGGCTGGGGAGATGGATACTACAAAGGAGAAGAAGACAAAGAGAAGAAGAAGAACAACACGAACACGGCGGAGCAAGAGCATCGGAAAAGAGTAATCCGTGAGCTTAATTCGTTAATCTCCGGCGGAATTGGAGTTTCCGATGAATCAAACGATGAAGAAGTAACAGATACTGAATGGTTCTTCTTAGTTTCGATGACTCAAAGCTTCGTTAACGGTGTTGGACTTCCCGGAGAATCTTTCTTAAACTCTCGTGTGATTTGGTTATCTGGGTCGGGTTCTTTAACCGGGTCGGGTTGTGAAAGAGCGGGTCAAGGTCAGATTTACGGGTTAAAGACGATGGTGTGTATCGCGACGCAAAACGGCGTCGTTGAGCTTGGTTCGTCGGAAGTTATAAGTCAAAGCTCAGATCTGATGGATAAAGTTAATAACTTGTTTAATTTCAACAACGGTGGTAGTGGTAACAATGGTGGTGAAGCTTCTTCTTGGGGTTTTAATCTGAATCCAGATCAAGGAGAGAATGATCCAGCTTTGTGGATTAGTGAACCGACGAACACCGGAATCGAATCTCCGGCGAGGGTTAATAATGGTAATAACTCGAATTCTAATTCTAAGTCTGATTCTCATCAAATTTCGAAGCTTGATAAGAATGATATTAGCTCTGTGGAGAATCAGAATCGTCAAAGTTCTTGTCTTGTTGAGAGAGATTTGAATTTCTCGAGTTCTGGGTTGAATCAAAATGGGAACTTTCAAGGTGGGTTGTTGAAATCGAATGAGACTTTGAGTTTCTGTGGTAACGAGAGTAGCAAGAAGAGGTCTCCGGTTTCGAAAGGGAGTAATAATGATGAAGGGATGCTTTCTTTTAGTACTGTGGTTCGTTCCGCTGCGAAATCGGTTGATTCGGATCATTCTGATCTTGAAGCATCGGTTGTTAAGGAAGCGATTGTTGTTGAGCCACCGGAGAAGAAGCCGAGGAAACGGGGGAGGAAACCGGCGAATGGGAGAGAAGAGCCGTTGAATCATGTTGAAGCGGAGAGGCAGAGAAGAGAGAAGTTAAACCAGAGATTTTATTCTTTGAGAGCTGTGGTTCCTAATGTTTCGAAGATGGATAAAGCTTCTCTTCTCGGAGATGCTATTTCGTATATCAATGAGCTTAAGTCGAAGCTGCAACAAGCGGAATCTGATAAAGAAGAGATTCAGAAGAAGCTAGATGGGATGAGCAAGGAAGGAAATAATGGGAAAGGTGGCGGGTCGAGGGCGAAAGAACGGAAAAGTTCGAATCAAGATTCTACGGCGAGTTCTATAGAAATGGAGATTGATGTGAAGATCATAGGTTGGGATGTGATGATACGTGTACAATGCAGCAAGAAGGATCATCCTGGGGCTAGGTTCATGGAAGCGCTTAAGGAATTGGATTTGGAAGTGAATCACGCGAGTTTATCCGTTGTGAATGATTTGATGATTCAACAAGCTACCGTGAAGATGGGGAGCCAGTTTTTCAATCATGACCAGCTTAAAGTTGCTTTAATGACGAAAGTCGGAGAAAACTATTGAACAAAGTCGGCATGTTAAAGAGATGAAACTAGTGTTTTCATCGATCGAATTTAGCGGGTAAATGTATGGTCTTTTGTAAGTAGTAAGTACTCATTTTGCATCACTCGCTTCATGTTGTTAAATGTTGTTGTTCATTAGGAGAACTTGATTAGTTCTTAGCTTAGTGTTATCATAAGCCTTAAGTGAGAACGAAGTTGGAGACGAGACCAGAGAGAGTTAGTAATATAATAAAATCTTTGGTTGTACTTGTATGTAAATTATATTGAAGTTTTTTGGTTCTATGATTGAAATTTTGTCAATTAAGAATCACTTATCACTTTTGAGTTAGTTTGTAACTTTTATATAACATAAAAGTCCAAATTTATGAACTGTAGTGTACAAAAAGCTGAGGAAAATAAGTGGTCGTAAATGGATTTTGCAGGTTAGTGCTCTTATCTTTGTGAGGGGATATGAGGAAACTGTTTATAATGCCAAAAATGTGGAGACATGTGTTATTTGTTTTTTGTATACTAAGTAAAAGAAAGTAAAGTTTAAACAAAGATTTGTTAGTTTTAAGTAATGAGTAGGAAGTCTTTTAGTGCCTATCTTATCTTATCTTATGTGTGAGTTCGAGTATATCTTTATGTTTAGAGAGCCGTGTGATCTACCCTATGTTTCTTATAGTCTTGAGTACATTCTAAAGACTAGTCGTAAGTATTTTAGTAAAGTTTGGTTTAAAATTCATCGACATATATAAGGCGAAAATCAAGATTTTTATAAAGTTTGGACCGGAGTTTGTAGTTTAATTAGTTGGTGTTAGTACCGACACCGTATCACAATTCGATTTTTTTTTTTTTTGACGTCGAGATTTATTATTTATTGCAAATTATGAGAACTGTTACATAGACGATTCTACAACGGACAATTCCTTCCGACCCTTATTAGATCCACAACAGACGATATTTCCTTCTGCATGCTCTTGACGGACACCTTCAATGATCTACGACCTGACGACACTTCTCTCTCTGCGTAGAATCTTGGCGAACGGCTATAATTGTACTTCGCTGGAGATCTCCTGCACACTTGCCTCCTTTAATATGCAAATTTATTAATAAATCGCAATATCTGGGACTCGAACCCCATACCTCTTGGTGTAGAAGCATTAATTAACTCTTGGTCAACCAATGGGCTAAGGGGCTTCCACCACAATTCGAATTTAAAGGGGGTGTTATTGGTTTATTAATTTGTAAATCCATATAGAATTTAAAAATTTCTATTAATTATGAAATCAAGATATATGGATTTTGAAATAACATGTGTTTACCCATGGATTTGAATCCTTCTATTTTTATCTTTCAATTCCATTCAAATCCATTTAAATCATAATTTGGATTCTCAAATCCAAAAACAAATGACTAAACGAATAACATAGGATTTTAACTAGTATTTATAAATCATATAACCAATAACACATGATTTTAATTAAGATTTTAAAATCAATGATTGAATAACAAATGGTTTTTGTTTGGATTTCTAATTCCTTATAAATCCATGATCCAATAACCCCTCCTAAATCTCAAATTTTTGTTTAAATTAAAAATGTGAAGACATTTGATTTTATGCAAACATGAACTACTTTTCTCCATCATTGATGAGTTCTAATTAAAAAACCACCAACTTAAGTTTTTTTTTTTTTTTGCAATATATGAAAAATACTTTTCATGTAGTACCATAAAGTTGACCCCTCTTTAAAGGATGTTAGGAAATAATAGCCATCTTTCATCTATCTTTGGCTATCTATATTAAATAGTTCACTCAATTCGTTCACACTATAATTTTGTAATGAATTTATGACTACAATATATTGTTAATTCTTACAAAATTTGTCTTTAATTAACCAACGACCAAAGACATAAAACTCTCTCGTTTCTATGAAGTTAATAGTTGTTAAATTAACGTGTGAGGCCATATGTCTACTTACACAACAACGTATGTGTTACCCAAAATCGAATTTACAAATATACACTTTTCACTAAAATTAGATTAGTTTTCGTTAGTCTTTACTAAAATAAAACAAGAAACATATTTACTAACTAAATAAAACCGAAGTCTCTCTTTCTTCTTCCTTGTCTCTCTCTCTCTCGTTATTGATCTCCATTGTCGTAAGGAGATCATAAAAAGGCCATGAGCCTAAATTGTCTAACATGTCAAGCCCTTCCACGAACAGATTCCAACAAAAATGTTGATCTCTCCGGTCCTGGACCACCAAAGGTCGAGATTAACCATGTTCTAGGTAAAACATGTTGTGTAGATCCTATTGGTGGAAGAAATTGGTCAGGGAATTTGAGTCCTAGGATCTATGAGAAGATTGGACGGTCAGGATCGTCTTTAGCCCATAAGATGAAGAAGGTGAAAAAGATTCATCACATTAGGCTAAGTGGTCCTGTTGGTGCTAGCCCTAGCAATGGACCGACCCGGCCCGAACAACCAAAGCTTGTAAGGAGCACTGGAGTCCGAAGGAATTGGAGTTTTGAGAATTTGAGAGATCAAGGATTAATAGAAGAAAAAAGGAAGATTAACATATGATCATGATTGATCATGATTCTGAGATTTTATATGAATGTTTAAGATGACATATATCATCGATTGGAAGAAAGGATAAAGTTGATTACATATAGTTTCAAATCCAGAGTCGTGATTACATAAATCGTGATAGAATATGTGAGATATATAATAGTATTATTTGGCGGAAAAAATGTTTCCATTTATTTATTACTTGTCACGTTTAATTTGTTCTCTTTGAATATCTGTTTTTGTGTTTCTTTTTTCTTTGAATGAAAAAATACGTTTTCATTGAACGTGTTTTGTTTCTTTCGTATACACGAGAGACTATCCTTATCGGTGTGGTATACTATTCCTTCTTAATAGTCAAATTGCAAGTGAAATAAAGTTTTTGTTATCGTTAAGAAACCTATCAACTAACAAAGCAACAAAAATTAATCATAAGAGAAAACAACAATGCTTATCTCTAATTCTCTATGAGTATCGACTTAAAGTCAAGATTATTATCATTACAATTGGGCCTACTTTTCGTACTGCGTAATTCCGAAATAATAATGCAGAAAATTGACATGGCAGATTTCGTTTTCTAATCGTCTTGAGAGATACTTTTGTGGTATAGCTTATCTTTTTTCTTTCGATATACTAATTGCTTCGATTGGTAATTCCTTATCGTTTTCATACAGGGTATATCGTTGTGGTATGTATAGGATGTACCAATTTAATAATTGATATGTTGCGTTTTTTTTATGTCTTTTGTCCCTTGTTTAACTTTTGTTTTGGATGGGAGGAAAAAAAAAAAAAAAAATCTTTCGTTTTGGATGGTTTGTCGTGTCGAAGTCTGTTTTTTGTGTCATTTCGGTCGTGTCTTGAGTCTTGTACATGTTCTAAGTGCTTATGAGGAATTTAAATGTTTTCGAGGGTTAATTGGCTTGTTCGGGCCAAGAATGTTCCAGAGAATGAGTAGACAAGACAAGGCAAGCTCATTGACAATTACTTTAATATATTAAATATTTTTTTAATAATTTTGAACCAATAATAATTTGAAACAATTAATCTTTTTCAATCATTACATCTTGAAATTTACGATTTATTAAAATTTATTAATAAAATAAAGAAAAAATTTTAAAAATTAATTTTTGTAAAACAACAAAAAAAAACTAGAACATCAATTTTTTAAGATCGGAAAAAATATTATTTACTGTTTTCTATGTTCGCTAAAAATCTGTATCGTTTTGTATAACCTGTAAGTAAGACTCAATATCTCATCCATATCTACTACTAAACTAGTTGGATCCGATCTATCGTTTATTTGTATATTCGACTAGATTTTATACGTTCACGGGCAATATTTTCAACAGTTTAATACTATTACCAACTTGTACATTAAACACTATTACAATTTTCAACGATAAGACACTAAACACGTGTTATCATCTGATTTAATTGTAACGTATGAATCGTACTAAAACCATGGTATAAAAAATACGACTCCTAAATAAACAACTTTAGTCATATTATAAACACTAATCCTCAACTTGTTTATGCATGTATCCTAATTAAATCCACTTGTTGGTTTTCCAACTAGTAAAAATCGAATAGTAGTTATCAGAAACTAGTATTAAATCAACTTAAATTGAGAGACAAAAAGAGACAAAAAAAGTCAAAGTTTCCTTTTTAAAGCCTCTTGTTTTGTTTTTCTTCTTCTCTTGTTTCTTCTTTTCCAATCTTCATTTTTCCAGTCAAATTCAGAAAACGCGTAAGTTCTCTTTCTCGTTAAAAGGGTTTGTTACAAAACCCTTAAATTTTACTTGTTTTAAAGATATTCTTGGTTTAAATCAGTAACCAAAGAACTATAATTTCCTAAAAGATTTTAACTCTTTGTGGTTTCTGTACTATTTACCTCCCAAGATTTAGATTTGCTCTATTTTTGTTTGTTTGTTTCAGGTTTAATAATGGATGATCAGAGAAATCGTGTTAATGATTATCATAATAATGATCATCATCATTATCTAGGTGTGAATAAGATGGGAAAAAACATCCGTAAAGATCCATCAAACCAGCAAAATCAACAACAAAACCCTCAAGCTTTGGTTTACAACATCAACAAAACCGATTTCAGATCCATCGTTCAACAGTTAACCGGACTTGGTTCAACTTCTTCCGTCAATCCTCCGCAAGCAAACCCACCAAAACCTCCAAATTCACGGTTGGTTAAAGTTAGACCGGCTCCTTTGACCCAACTCAACCATCCTCCACCTCCACCTCCACCTCCGGTTCAATCGGTTCCAATTGCATCTGAACCGGTTCAGCCTGTTAACCAAGTTTCGGTTAACCCGGCCGAATCTCCCATCTCCGCTTATATGCGTTACCTAATCGAATCAAGCCCTGTTGGAAACCGAGCGCAGCCACAAAACCAAAATCCGGTTCAACCATCAACCGGTTTATTTCCGTCACATCAAACCGGTCCTAATCCAATGTCATTCCAGTCTCCAGCTTCACAGTTTGTTTTGTCACCGCAGCCAAGATCGCCATTTCCATTGTTCTCACCAAATTTCGCGTTCTCGCCGCGGTTTTTAGGCGGTACTGAATCGCTACCACCGCCATCACCCGGTTTTTTCTTCCCATTGCTCAGTCCATTATGGAAAAATCAATAGCTAATTAGTAGTAGTATATTAATAATCCTTTAATTAATGGATTAAGGGTTCCAAGTTGTATGCACTTTGTAACTTGAAATAGAAAGAAGTTTGCTCATTTCATTTCTGTATTTGAATGTTGATAAACTAGATAGATACGATATCAAGATCATTCAACATCAATGTGTTACTTGTTTTTTGTTTGGTCTTTAGTTTGAAAAGTATGCGAGTCTTAATTATTATTGACTTATATCAAAATTACTCAATACAACTCTTTACTTATTTTGTTATTATTGTTGAATTCTTTTTTTTTTCTTTAACGTCAAATCGTAATCTTAAATTTTTTTGATACAAATTGCTATTTGTGTCAAAATTCCGTTTTCGTTATATGTTTTCAGTTTTGCCAATTTTGATTTCATGAATTTGGTGTCAGTCACGATTGTGTGGTTTCATTATATCTAAACGCAAACTATGAAATGTTGTCATTATGAATCGATTTCGTTCATTAAATATCGGTGATTCAACTTATCATGAAACCAAACGATTCAAGTGTAGTTTCTTCATGATGGTTTTCATGTTTGGCATAGCACAAAATGTGCTTCCTCCCGCATGGCGCATGAGCAACCAAGCGTATGGAATCACGTAAAAAGCATAAGTGACAAAATGTTCATATACATGTCTGAATTCGTAGAACCTGATAGACGCATCTACTCCTAATAACATGTACCAAGCTTGCTAACTTCGTTAGAACCATAATCATTCGTTTGAATAAAACTTTCAAGTGGCAAAGGCATCCGACATATGTGACATGACAGTTGAAGCCTTGAAGGGAAGATGAATCCAACATATCATACTCAATCATAAGATAACATCACAAAACTACCTTAGAAAGGTATTCTTTTTTTCTTTTTTTTTTTTTGTAACACCTTTAGGAAGTTTATAATTAAATGGAATATTAGATAGATTTTCAATAACTTTAGGTACCCCATTGTCATAATTAAACCAAAAAGAAGTTTTGATGTTAATCATTAAAGTCGTGGTGCTGAAAAATCCTCTCTTTTAATTGGTTCACCATCGTTAAAGTCCGGAGCCTTTGATTTCATTTTTTTATCCTCCAATCAAATAAAACTCAAAATTAACCTTCTGACTTTATTTATTAACCAAGTTGGCAACTTGTAGTACCCCACTAGATTTGTCCCTTTCCCTAATGGAATAAAACTAGAAGCATCTTCAGGAGTTCCTCACTTTTCTGCTTCAATTACTAAATACAATCAATTACAGTACTTTATAGAATAAATAGATAAAACCGAAACTAATCATTATATTTTACGACTAGTTTCTGAATTATATTTAATAATATACCATTTTACAATATGTTACAGCAACTTTTTTGGGTATAAATGGCGTTTTTAGATAGATTACTAGAAAACATTTAGTTACTCAACTACTAAAATATTTTCATGCAACAACCAAGTTAGAAAAATGAAAACTAAATAAGCATATAATTTTTGTCCAAAAAAAAAAAAAAGCATATAATTAATGTGCACACAAAAAAAAACATATACTACAAAAGAATAGTACTAGGGGTCTGCAAATTATGGTGGCTCCCTCAATTGCCAGAAATATATAAAAAGGAGTGGCTCCCATAATTTGTCACCGTCTAACCATATTTGAGAAAATAGATTTATGTAACAAATGTATATTTTTTTGTCGGCTGTAACAAAATTATTTTAAGTGTTGCCTCATAATGGATCATCCACTTTAGAGTCTCCAATAATCCATCATTAGATAATGTAATAAATTAAAAATAATATAATCATACTTAGCTTCCTCAAAATTTGTAATATCACTAACGGAGATTTTCGTCTTTCAAAGCCTTTTCCTTTTCAAATGCCCAACTCCTCTCTGTTCTAATACTAATTAGTTTTTAGAATGTAGTAAATCTTGTTAGAGCGAGAAAAAAGAAAAGAAATTAGCAAAACATATAACATTTTTTTACAACGAAATTATATATGAAAAAATAAAATAATCATTGAATCAAAAGAATATAACGAAACGAAATAAATGATTCTTTTAGTCATAAACAATGGAAACAACTAATTTTACCAGTTTTCAGATTGTCAACATTGACTTTTAGTAATGATATTAACCATTTTACGGGTTTCTATTTTATTTTATCTTAGTGTCCCATTGGTAACACAAGATTTTATAAAATTTTGAATTGTTAGCTAGAGCGATAAGTTTTTTATAAATAGTTAAAGAGTGTAAATGGTAACATGAAAAAAATATTCAGCCAGATTCAGCCAGATTCAGGAATTCCGCAGTTACCATTTGCATAAAACTAAATTCAGCCAGATTCAACAGTTTTTCCAACATCAACAGATACATAGTATGTTCATTTCAGATAAAAATTTGGATTATAGCGATTCACAACTCGAATTAAAATATTTTTGGCTATTAAAAATTACACATCAAATTTATATTTTAAAATAAGTTAGATCATACAAATACGATATATGAATAATTCATACACATAAAATCATTATCAGAATAGACAAGAGACATATTTATGTTTAGATATCTATAGATAATTTTAGATAATTTTAATAAATTTTAGATACTTAAATATAATTTTCCAAATTTTTGCAAAAATAACTCATACTTATGCTAAAATAATATTTAAAATATCAAATTAAAAAAAATTGTTAATCATCCTAATCATATTAAGGATTTAAACTACTAGAGAACAATGAAAAATCAATAAGATAATCTATACTATATTATCATGTTTATTTTTAAATTAATTTTTCAATAAAACTTTGACAAAGCTTTCTATTAATTAATTATATCTTTTTAATAGTTCAAAAATTAGATTTGGAAGAACAACTCAATTTTGCTAAAAAGATATTAATTCTAGTATTTATTTATTGGTATAAGAGTTAATTAGACAATTAGATAATTTTATCTATTTTATTTAGATATTTTTCTTTAGTTATTCTATTAATATTCGTAATTATTTGACGATATTTCAGTTAAAGTCTTAATTATTTCAACAGATTCTGCTGAAAAACACCAAAAAATTCAGCTAGATTCAGCGGTTACCATTTGAAAATGTAAAAATTCAGCCAGATTCAGCTAAAAATCACTAAAAATTCAGCCAGATTCAGCAATTCAGCCGGATTCAGCCAGATTCTTCGGTTACCATTTAGACCCTAAACTGTACAATATAGTGGTTTGAGAAAACTCTACAAAAAAAAACTGAGAGTATATTTTTTGTATCGCTTTATTTGATATCGCTTTTGTGATTGCTAAATTTAAAAATTGTATACTTTGTAACGTTTTTTTTTTTTTTTTTTTTTACTTTGTAACGTTGTAAGTTGTAACCAATCAATACCATGAAAAGTTACTACACACTTACTATTTTTTTTTTAAATAAGCTACGAAAAAGACAAATATACATATATCAGTTCTAAGCAGATCATATATTTTCCCATATCCCATCTGACCTAGAAATGAAGCTATTCCATAACTCATTTAAAATACAAAAATTGAATAAAAGAAAATAAAATTAACTTATAAAATACAAGCTATACAACATTTAAAGAAAACTAACAGAAAATTTATCTTGTCAACCAAATTAATAATTAAACGAATTACTATAATTAGTATGTTATCATTCCTAAATCCATGATATCTATAACAAGTAAGCTACTCCCTCTATTTCTAGAGATTTCACATATTTTAAGAAACAATCATTGTTTAATTATTTATTTTTATTAAACACTTTTTAATAAACTATGAACCAATAGTAATCTGAAACAGATAATCATTACGTCTTGAAATCTACGATTTATTAATATCAATTAATTAAAAATAAAAACAAATGTAAAAAATTAATTTTTGTGGAACAAACCTACAACACTAGAACATCAAACTTTTAGGAATAGAGGGAGTATTAGATTTAACTTTTCTAAAACATTCCAATTATCTAGGAGAGACTGAATTCAAAAGAAAAAAAAAAACATAACCATAAATCAAACGAGGAAATTACAATTCAAGAAAAAAAAAAAAAACATATTACAAATCAAAATAAAATTAAAAATCCCCCAATTGTTTTTTTTTTTTTACTTCACCTGAGAAGAAGAAGAGTTTCTTCCTCCGTCACCGGCGTTGTTGTTGTTCCGATTCATAGCTTCAGTGATCGAAGCAAGTTTCTGAAGATTCAATCTAATAACCGTATCAGCAAACAATCTCGTATCTTCCTCCGAATTACCTTCCGGTACATCAACAACGTACGATTCCAAAACAACGGTCCAGATCCGATCTTCTTTCTCAAATCTATGAACCGTCGTCACCGATTTATAATTCCTCAGCCTATGTTCACCACCGGTGATACTAAACCCAGTCACTCTCCGATCATCGTCCAACAGATCTAATCTCTCTCTCGATGTATTCGCCGGAAGTCCACTTATCACGTTCACGTCGCGCGTGCATCCCACTCGCATCTCGAAACCTTCCTTCACGAAACAGCTTTTGATGAAGTGTTTGTAAATCTGTGGTCGATCGAATCTTCTCACGACGGACCAGACTGTTTCCGGCGGCGCGTGGATTCGCTGAGCTAAGAGAGATGAGCAACGGCCGTGACCGAGTTGGTATGTGTGGAACTCGGCGATTGATTGGGAGAGTGAGGTGAATTCGTCTTGAGTTAACTCGGAAGGCATCGTTTGGTGATGGAGAGTTGAGATTCTCTGGTTGTTCTCTTCTTCTTCGTTTACTTGTGAGGACTCTGAATTCGCCATTGATGTCGTTGAAAGAGAGAAAGTTGAAATTTGAAGGAGGAAGAAAGAGAAGAAGGGTAGATTTGGAATTTAATAGAGTTGAGTTTTTATTTTTTTTTAATGGCTACCACATAAATGTCATTAGGCACTGAATCTTTCTACTTTTAGTTGATTATTACTATTTTTGTTGAAACGTACATCAAAATTAGTAACTATTACAAAATTATGTACACTTTTGTAGAGTCTAAAATAATACTACAAGAATTTATATATTCGTTCAAAATAATACATAGATTTATTTTTTTTGGATTTTAAAAATCCGATTTAACGTACAATAAACACTGTTTAGTTAGACTTATCATTTTATTCTTTTATATTCGTATTGAATGTATAAGTCAAAATTATCTCTATCCAAAAAAAAAAGTATAAGTCCAAATTATATATGTGATGCTAATTAAAAATATATTATTATACCGATTATTCAACATTTTAAAATAGAATACATCATTTATCATATTCTTCATGAATTCTTAGTTTGGTAATTATATTACTAATGAAAATTGGTCAACACGAACTGCAATTAAGTTATAGAATTAAAAAATTATGTAGGGGCGTCGAAATATTTATTTTTATTTGTTTGGTTGGCAACCGTTGAAAATATAATTATTCGAATGCATTTAAAGGTTAGCTATTAAGCCTTTCTGCGTGAAGCTATTATCCCTTATATATTAATTGAGAAGCAATTTTAAAAAATAACCTTATTTTTGATTAACAAAAATGCCATGTGACGTGTCGTTCTCACAAAACTTTTCAATCCGTTTAAACCGATCATTTATTAAAATATTTATAGATTTTGTCAATAGTTTTACTTATATTTATTTTCCTACTTAATTTCTATTAAAACAAAAATATAATTAAAATATGAAATTAAGATATTCTAATCTATACAAAATGGACTACCTAATATTTTGTATATTGACTAATATACCAAGATATATATCATAAATTATGATAAACATAAACATTAATACATAAATAAAAATTTTATTAATCTTGATAATCATTAATATACCACAGTTTGATTTATCTAATAATATAAAAATCGAAAATCTTCAATATCATCAATACATGAAAATTGGTTAATAATAGTTTTGTCCCGCACATAGTGCGGGTTGTTAGCCAATTACTGTACTCTATAACTCTCAATTTCTCTAGGGACTAAATTTAGTCTGGTTTAAACTAAATAATTGTAATGATTAAAACAATTTTCAGTAAAATATAAAAAAAAAAATCATATTACTTAGTTTAGAGAATTTTTTATCAAGTGATAATTAAATGTGGGCACGAAGCCTCCGTGTATACATTTACTAGTTTTGGCTATGTTTATTTATTCTGCAACCGAATCTGCAAATCCTTTTTTTCTCTTATTACCTTGACTTTTGTTTTTTTTTTTGTATTTCAATTTTTTCTTATACACGAATCATTACGTTAAGTATATATATTTTTTTACAAAGATAATAATGTATAGACAAAAAAAAATGAAGATAAATAATTGGGGTACATAAGAAATATACTGTAGGTACAAGTTATAAACCATAAAAAGTAGTCTCCAGCTGTTTTTTTTTTTTTGGCGCCTTGTAGACATTTAATTTTAATGTCTATATGTGTATATACGTGCACGGTTCAATACAAATACACTTATATCAAATTTGATGATTAATATTTAATATATTAATTTAATTTGAATGTTATTTTCATGTAGTTTAGTTTGATCAATTCCATATCGTTTTTTCCCTAATGTGTGCGTATCTCAGATTTATATCATATACCTTTTTGCAGTATGTATTTTCTGGTTTTAGATTTTTTTTTTTTGTAAACAGTGTTTACGAATGAATCAACATTTTAAAATTGTACGGATATTCGAAGTAGTTTAGAAAATTAGATCTCGTTTCCTCATAATTTATTGAAAGTTGACTTTTTCGTTATAAAAAGCATATATTTATGGAACATTATTTTTCTATACATCCTACTATTTTAAAACTTTAATATCAATATGATTATAATTTTTTTTAGTTTAAATATCAAGGGTGTAAAACGATGCTAATATTTTCACTAATCATTACAATTTCTCTAAAAATTGTATCATTACGCTATATTAATTTGTTCTTTTATTTAAAATTTTAAATGAAAAGGAGAATAGTACTCTGGCAGTGGCAGACAATGAAATGGAGCTGACAAAAAAAAAAATTCATAATTAAAATTTTAAATGTTACCTTTTCCTAAAGTTAAAGTTAGAAAATAATTCATATATTTATGAATATATAGGTTGCTATATATTCTTTAAGCATTATAGAGATAATAAAAGTATCAAAAGTCTGTTTGGTGGAATAATAATTTTGATTCTGATCATTGCGAATTTTTTTATTCTTAAATCTGGTTTGAAAGAATTTTCAAATATAATATTTTCAAGACTCCACTGAGGCACTGACCAAGTTATAATGGAATATACATTGATAAGAAAATAAAAAGGATAAAAGTAGTGGAATATACAGTTATACATATCTCTACATCCACACATTTGTATTTTTTGGAGGGTAGTTGCTTTATAGTACATGATGTACTGTACATCCTAAAAGTTAATATGACAACAAATTTTTTTATTATTGTATAGTACAATTTTGGCTACATTGCTATGGTTGTCAAAAAAAAAAAAAATAGTTGATGTCGACTACTTCTATATAATTGTAGTTCCTACTGCTAACTTTTTAGTTAAATTTTAGGTCTTTTAGAAAATCATGTTACGAAACTAATTAATCCATTTGTTTGTTTCAATCATGTCAAAACCCGAGCTTATCTAGTATCTATCTATATACACAAGAGTAAAAAAAAGATGTTTAAGCAATAATCGATATTAATCCTAAAGTTTGATGGGTAAAGAAAAACTTAGATTTAAACAAAAACGAAATAAATGCATAGTCCAAGGAATTTCAGATAACATAAAATTAACAGCCCAATAAGCTAAAACGAGACCATTTCTTGGGAGATTTTGTCTTCTTCTTCTTCTTTGGTTTGCAAGTTTCAGTAGCATCATTCTTCTTAGTCTTCTTATTTTTCTTCTCCAGTAATGGCTTCTCTACATTTATCTCTTCCTCTTTCTCTTCTTCAATCTTCTCCTCCATCTCCTACATTTCACAATAACATTATGAATCACAATTATGAAAAAAAATTCTGTTACAAAATATGACAAATACTTCTTCTTTTCTTTTCCTAGAAAATTTTAAACATGAAAATGAAAAATCTAGTATTCCAAATTACTTTTATGTATTTTCTAAGTTCTAATGTTAGATCCTAACAAAAATGACATAATTTCGCTCTTTAAATGCTTAGTCAAGGCTATCTAGCAATATTTGATTATTTTCTTTTTTTGGTAAGAAATATTTGATTATTTTCTTGTAATTTGTATTTGAAATATTAAACTCTTATCTATAAATAGACAACAAAATTAAATAAATATATATATGTATACCCGAGGGTCTTGTGGATGTTGTAAGGGAACATGAAAAGGATTAATGTTGCTACTGAAAATGGGCAATGTCTTTGTCAAATCTCTCTTAATCCTTTGGTTTGATGTTTCACCGGACCCTCCAGTTGAAGTAGAAGATGCACTGCTCGATTCCAATTCCAAACATATCTTTTAAACATCACACAAATGAAAACCTCTTAAAACCTTATTATACAAAAACCCTTGAAACATTACACTTATTTTAAAAGAAAACTGATCAAACCATACCTGAAAAAGTCTGGTTTCCAAAGCCGCGATTCGATCTAGTAATGATCCTTTGAAATACGCTTCTCTGATCGCCGTGCCTCTATCGATCAATCCACGTGTGGTAGACGCGCTTTCCTCTTTCCATTTCGGAATCGGAAGGTTTTGTTGTCTCTCTAGGTTCTTTATCTACGTAAAAACCAAAAAAAAAAACACTCGAGTAAATTCATCAAATTAGTAAAGTATGTGTTCTTAACTTAGAAACCAAAGATAAACAAAACAATTTACAACGAAATCCAAGTGTTCAAGCCTAGAGAGCATAGGCAAAGAAGAGAGTGAATGTCTTTGTTGCTCAATCGTCTCCATAAGACTTGTGATTATTGTTTCTCTAACTTGTGATATTAATTTTTTGGTTTATATAGTGATAAAAAGTTTTATAAATAATTAAAAAATGTAAAACGATAAAAGAAAAAGCAGTTGAGTTCCCTCCTTTTTTTCCTGTTGACATTCTCTACTTGTGCAGAGTCATACGCTAGTTTGTTATTTAATTAAAACTTAACAAAATAGTCAAAATATTTAACTCCAATTTATAAACCAAAAATAGAAAAACTAAAACCCCTATATTATAAACTCTAAACCTAAAACTTCAAATTCCTAACCCCAGAATAGAAACGTAATTTTAACAGATTAAACCCTTAACAAACCCATAATCCAACTCTTAAATCATTCAGTTCGGTTTAGTTTTCCATTCTGTTTTTGTTCTATTTTTGTTCGGTTCAATTTGGTTCGTCAAAATTTTAATGTCAACCACGAGTTTTTTTTTTTCTTGGACAAAATCAACCACTAGTTTTAATCGGTTAAATTGGTCTTAACCAAGTCTCAGAAATAAACTGTGTAAGAGATATTGAAATAAACTGTATAAAAGACTAGATTGTTACCCGCGGTACACCGCGGATTGAATATTTTTATTATTTGTTATTTAATAATACAATAATAATTGGTTTTATTTTTTTTTTTTTTTGTGGTTATATATATATATATTTATATATTATAGTTGGGATTGTGTTATAAGTTATCGATATTATTTGTGTATAACATGTTTTAATCGAGTCATATGTGTTACATAAAAATTATTTCCTTTTATATTAATCGTCTAATTGATACTACATAATTAGTTATTTTTTAAAAGTTTGGTAATGTGTAAACATACAGCTAGTTTCTATAGTAAGATTAATTTTCATATATGTGCATTTGGCTTTTATATGTTAAATGTCAATCTGTTTGCATTGGTAATATAATTTTCAGATTTTAGATATCTTGTATTATCTGATTTATTTAGATGTGAAGGATTAAAATAATTTTAATCAATATAAATTGCACGATAGTTGGATTTTATTAAGGACAAATTAATTTTTGATCATGTAAATATGGCTGT